CCGATATTCCGATATTCCGATATTCCGATATTCCGATATTCCGATATTCCGATATTCCGATATTCAGATATTCAGATATTCAGATATTCAGATATTCAGATATTCAGATATTCAGATATTCAGATATTCAGATATTCAGATATTCAGATATTCCGATATTCCGATATTCCGATATTCCGATATTCCGATATTCCGATATTCCGATATTCCGATATTCCGATATTCCGATATTCCGATATTCCGATATTCCGATATTCCGATATTCCGATATTCCGATATTCCGATATTCCGATATTCAGATATTCAGATATTCAGATATTCAGATATTCAGATATTCAGATATTCAGATATTCAGATATTCAGATATTCAGATATTCAGATATTCAGATATTCAGATATTCAGATATTCAGATATTCAGATATTCAGATATTCAGATATTCAGATATTCAGATATTCAGATATTCAGATATTCAGATATTCAGATATTCAGATATTCAGATATTCAGATATTCAGATATTCAGATATTCAGATATTCAGATATTCAGATATTCAGATATTCAGATATTCAGATATTCAGATATTCAGATATTCAGATATTCAGATATTCAGATATTCAGATATTCAGATATTCAGATATTCAGATATTCAGATATTCAGATATTCAGATATTCAGATATTCAGATATTCAGATATTCAGATATTCAGATATTCAGATATTCAGATATTCAGATATTCAGATATTCAGATATTCAGATATTCAGATATTCAGATATTCAGATATTCAGATATTCAGATATTCAGATATTCAGATATTCAGATATTCAGATATTCAGATATTCAGATATTCAGATATTCAGATATTCAGATATTCAGATATTCAGATATTCAGATATTCAGATATTCAGATATTCAGATATTCAGATATTCAGATATTCAGATACTTCGACATTCCGACATTCCGACATTCCGATACTCCGATATTCCGATAAAGCTAAATGTACAAAAAATGGCAGTTTTTGAGAGAACTAAGCGTCTGATTTGAATGATTCAGAGAACTTTCTGCTTGTTTTAACAAAATAATTGCTTTTGGAAAAAAAATGTTATAATTTTTTTTTCAATTTTTTTTTTCTTGAAATTTTTAAGTTACGAAGTTTCAAGTAACATTCGATGAATTAACGAACAATTATCTGACTACGTTCAGTAAAATTGCCTGCTACTTCATCATTGTAGAAATGTATTTTTTTTATGTCTTTCAAAAATTCGTTATCTACACCTTTTTATCCTATAGGCGGGGTAACTTGAAACGGGCAGGTGGCAAAAAGGTTTAAATCCTTATTATAATTATAAAGGTATTTTACAAAATAATTACATTTTTAACTAATGCTAAAAAACTACCAACGGAAGAAAATACTTTTATTATGGATTTTCAAAGATTACCGTTTATCTCCCCCATTGCCGTTTTCAAATCAAGGTTTTAGCTATATATTTTTTATCTTACAAATTTTTTTCCTCTACTTTCAAATATTGTTGTTAAACAATGCTTGATTGCCGTTTTCAAATCAAGGTTTTAGCTATATATTTTTTATCTTACAAACTTTTTTCCTCTACTTTCAAATATTGTTGTTAAACAATGCTTGATTTTACTGATTTTTGACACATCGGTGGTGGACGTTTTTAACCACGGACCTTCATATATTACTATCTATTCTTCGATAAATTCTGGGAAATTATAACTGGGAAAATGTTATTTGACAAAATGTTCATTTGATCGATACCAAATTTAGGTTCTGAATTTTAATAACATAAATAAAAAATAATATAACCTAGAAAATGTTTTATAAATACCAATGAGTATATAATTATACAAATGAGTTCTTTCAGAGCATCGTGTTTGAGAAAAATATGTCAAAAAGTGCATTTTCATATTAACATTTCAAAAAAGTTGATATTTTGAGTTTCTAGTAACACTTACGGCCCGTTTACTAACGTTTTTGTATGTAAATAAAACTACAAACAAAACTACTTGCTACAATTAAATCATAATTAAATAATATTCACCTAAACACCCTATTAAACATAATCGAAAATCATCTGTCAAAAACGTTTGACATTTCAAGTATTAGCCACCGTCCATTGTTTTATTTACATTACGCATCAACAAAAATTTTCAAATTAAAAATGTAAAGTTTCTACGCGATTTTGAAATAATATCTCACCTTTTGGACAATCTTTGGATTGGCACGAATTTTTCAAGACTAAGACTGGCCAAATCCATTCAGCCGTTTTCGAGTTTTATTCGGACATTTGAAAGACAGCTCCATTTTTATATATAAGATGATGTTATAACTACAAAAATTAATGACATATTAATTTGATATTCAATCTTTAGAAAATATTCATACAAAAAATAATTTTGCTTTATATAGTATTTAAAAAAAAAACAATTGTAGGAGGTACGTATTCTGTTTGGATGCTATTTATACCCCTTTTCATCTTGTTATTACAAAAATTATTATAACACTTTTATAAATAAATTATAAAATATTTTTTATAATAATTTATGATAAACATTTGTAAGTAAAATAATAATTTTGAGGATCATCGTTAACTTGGTTATTTATCTAATTAAGTTTCATAAGATATTCATAGTTATCTATTGAATATAAGAAATAGTAACAGATATCTGCATTTAAGAAAAAGAAATATTATGTTATGAAAGAAATTTATACCAACACATTTGCCAGTCATTTTAGTAATGATTTTTTTTATAAGTAACCCTTCAATGCATCAAATTTTGTCACTATGTAATTATATAGCTATTTCCGCATATTAAGTGTCTCCATAAATAAATCTATATAATAACAAAACTCTAATTTTTAATTATTAATTAAATTTCGTAATATATTTTGAAAATTCAAAATAATATCTGTTCAGTTATTTTACATTATCATAAATTTCATAGAATAAAAAAAAATTAAATCAATTAATGCAGCACATATGTCGACGTCCTATAAATTTTTAGTACAAATTTGACATTTTCAAAATTTATAGAAACACGAAGAAAACCCAGTGATATAATATACTATTTAAATATAATAGTTTTTAAAATACTGATGATACAATTGCATAAATTTCTTCCCAAATTTAGGAAATGATTAGACTTCAGTAACTAGACTTTCCAATTTCAATAAATAAAATTTAAATAAATAGACTTTTAAAATTTATAGAAACACGAAGAAAATCCTATGATATAATATACTATTTAAATATTATAGTTTTTAAAATACTGATGATACAATTGCATAAATTTCTTCCCAAATTTAGGAAATGATTAGACTTCAGTAACTAGACATTCCAATTTCAATAAATAAAATTTAAATAAATAGACTTTTAAAATTTATAGAAACACGAAGAAAATCCAATGATATAATATACTATTTAAATATAATAGTTTTTAAATACTGATGATACAATTGCATAAATTTCTTCCCAAATTTAGGAAATGATTAGACTTCAGTAACTAGACTTTCCAATTTCAATAAATAAAATTTAAATAAATAGACTTTTAAAATTTATAGAAACACGAAGAAAATCCTATGATATAATATACTATTTAAATATATAGTTTTTAAATACTGATGATACAATTGCATAAATTTCTTCCCAAATTTAGGAAATGATTAGACTTCAGTAACTAGACATTCCAATTTCAATAAATAAAATTTAAATAAATAGACTTTTAAATTTATAGAAACACGAAGAAAATCCAATGATATAATATACTATTTAAATATAATAGTTTTTAAAATACTGATGATACAATTGCATAAATTTCTTCCCAAATTTAGGAAATGATTAGACTTCAGTAACTAGACTTTCCAATTTCAATAAATAAAATTTAAATAAATAGACTTTCAAATTTATAGAAACATGAGGAAAACCCAGTGATTAATATACTACTTTTAAATATATATAGTTTTTAAAATACTGATTAACGAAATTGCATAAATTTCTTCTCAAATTTAGGAAATGATTACACTTCAGTAACTAGACTTTCAAATTTCAATAAATAAAATTTAAATAAATAGACTTTCAAAATTTATAGAAATATGAGGAAAACCCAGTGATATAATATACTATTTAAATATAATAGTTTTTAAAATACTGATGATACAATTGCATAAATTTCTTCTCAAATTTAGGAAATGATTAGACTTTTAATAACGTTATTTAATAATAAATAATTTTTATATATTATAATAAATAATTTGATTCTGACCCTATTTTAATTTTTTCAAATGATTATCTGTGACCCTAAGTTGTTTTTTAATTCATATTTTGATTGTAATCCTATTTTGATTTGCAGGAATTTTATGACTATAACCTTAATTTGGTTATTTTCTAAATAAATATTTTGATCATGATATCACAAAAATTTAATTATATTTATAAAATAATAATATTAAATTTATGACTTTAATGACAAATAAAATAATCGGTATAATCAATAGTAATAAAATAAGTAAAATAAATGCAACCTATGAAGTGCAACAGTCACTTAAATGAAACAACTTTTTGTAAGCTAGTTTTCAATTTAAACTTCTATTAAAATGCAAGCCCATAGTAATTTCCAGATCTCAGATATGTGTATAAACAAACTACTTGTTTAATCGATGAAAAATATAATTAGAAATTATCAATCAGTATCATAACATCTCCCACGATTTTTAATAAACCCTAATTCAATAAAGAATAATTTTATCAAAGCAACTAATCTCAATTCAACCCTTTAAATTCAGTAATTTCAGAATCTCAGTAAATGTTTAGAAATAATAATTAACAATTTATAGCCAAATCATTCACGTCCTTCCCCAAGTCCATCGTTAATTCCTTATTTCAAATATCGATAATATCGTAATATCTATATAAATTATCGTTCGATTGATGAATGATAGAATATCTCCACGTCATGGTCTCGATTAATTTGGTATCTGGCAGTGTTTCAGGATGTGCATGTCATGATATTCGTGGGCTTCGGGTTCCTGATGACGTTCCTGAAACGATATGGCTACAGCTCAGTGGGTTTCAATCTATTAGTGGCAGCCCTCGTAGTACAATGGGCAGTTCTCTGTAGAGGATACTTCGAATTGGAAGATGGAAAAATCAGGTCAGTAGTAAAGGATTCTGGATTTTTTTTATTATATTATACCAATAGTTTTTATACGTATATAGTAAAGGATTCTGGATTTTTTTTGGTCATATCATACCAATAGTTTTTAGAGGTGAGACTAATTAAACACTGGTAGTCGTATATAATGCCATTAGAGTTATTAATTTATGTGCCCACCTATATTTCTGACGCTGTCTCTGGCCATTAATCATTTTTTTTTGTTTTTTTTTTTTCCATTTTATTTCATCAAATGTGTGCATAAATATACATACGTGCAGGTAAATAATATAGGGTAGGGCGGGGTTTGAAGGTCTGCGGGTAAAAAGGTCCACCACCAATATCTCAAAACAAGTAATGTAAGGGCAAAATATGTATATCCAGACATCACCATGATTTTTACTTCGTCACTATTGGGATATAAAAGGCAATGTTTGAAAAACCGTAGTATTTTCTTTCGTTGTTAGTTTTTTTGGTTGTGAGCACTGTTTTTTTTACGAGACCCCAATATAATATTTTAGTATATGTCATTTAATTGTTTTGTGAGATATATTGTTGTTTTCAAGTTCAACAAGATTTCAATTCAACAGATTTTTTTCTATGGCCTCTATAAGGGCTTACATGTCTGTGGGGTTTCTTATGATCAAAAATATAGAACGTTTTTTTGTGATGAAAATGGTAAAATTCAAATATTTGTAATAAAGTGATGAAGGCAATTTTATATTTTACAATACAAAATATCAAGTCGATATATATAAGTCGGATGGTGTAGTTTTGATATAGTATATAGTTATTATATTAGTATATAAATTGTATAGTTTTGCTAGTAGATAGTATTATTGTTACAGTGTACCAAGTGTCATTGATATCAGTTTTGAATGATTGATTGATTATTAGTTTGACTAATTCTAACTAAGTTATTTTATCGTATTATTTTAAAGGCTATCCTCCAAATTTTACTAAAGTTGAAAATGAATACTATTAATGATTTATAAGATTCAAGTATACTTGAATGTGTATAACTTGAATGTAAGTATACGTACATTCCATATGACAATAAATAATTTATATACATAATTTTGCACAAAAGTTCTAACACAAGGATAAAAACTCTTGCAAATACGGTTCATCTTAAAAAAAATCTTATGGTAAAAAGTAACATAAATAAAAAGTCCCCTCCTCCAGTTATTTGAATACGGAACTCTAAGCACTTTTAACTATTTAATATAGACAAAAATCATATTACGACTTTAATTATTCTACCAGTTTAACTAAATACTTTAAAAACAATAAACTTACAATTAGATAAAAAATACGCCTCATTGAAATATTTAATTAACTTTGTACAATTATATCAGATAAATTAGTTTTAATTTTTTCATTTTGTAGAAAGCTCTTGAGTAATAAAGCTCGAAGCAGTATATAAACTCATTTAAAATAATGAA